TGCTGAACACATCTATGCTGAGATTGAGCTCAAATCTACAAGTCTTTTAGGGAATACCAGTGAAAGTTCTGACACTGTTTATTCTAAACTGACCCTGGTGACCCATCAAGGTGAGTGTCAAAGTAAAAACATCAATCATAGTTCACAAGGAGCCACTGAAAACTGCATCTACAAGCATCGCTGAGAATTTATGAAATCAAATACTGTATAAAAAATGTTAAATATGAATTTAATATTTATTTCTATATGTTCAGCTGCTGGATCTAATGATGTGACGTATGCTCAGGTTAAATAAATGCCCGGAGGAGACATTTTCAATCCCAGGATTCTGATGAGTTTAGGTTGAGAAGGGCTGGAGAATGACCAGGATCATCAATGCTTTATCATCTTTGTGGTACTGAGAAACTGATGGTTATCAGTACTTAATATTGTGATGCAAGCATTGATGTGCTTCAGTGACTATGCATGCTAATCTTTGAAAAGCAGTGAGCTAATTATACACTATTTAAAAACATTTATAAATGGGGCAGTTGTGGCCTAATGGTTGGAGAGTTGGACTTGTAACCCGAAGGTTGCGGGTTCGAATCTCAGGTCCGGCAGGACTTGTCGGTGGGGGGAGTGAATAATCAGTGCTCTCTTCCACCCTCAATACCATGACTGAGGTGAGAGCCTTGAGCAAGGCACTGAACCCCTGACTACTTCCTGGACTGCTGCCCACTGCTCTGGGTGTGTGTTCAAAGTGTGTGTGCGTGCACTTGGATGGGTTAAATGCAGAGCACAAATTCTGAGTATGGGTCGCCACATGTCACTTCACTCACTTTTTTTTTTTAAATACACAGAGAGAGAGAGAATTTAGCTTAAGCAGCAAATCAGCTTATTAGAATGATTTTTGAAGGAACAGAAAGGTAATGCCAAAATTCAGCTTTGCCATCACAGGACATTAAAATAGAGAACTGGTATTGTAAATTGTATCAATAGCTCACAATAATACTGATTTTACTGTATTTTTTATCAGATTTTACTGATCAAATTATAAAAATTTACTATATGATAAATTTTACTGTTATTTTACTTAAAATAAGAGTATTCTTCTATTTATTTTTATATTATTTTTTTCTATCTATTTTTATTATATATATATTCTTCTATTTATTTTTTCATGAAGATAAATAATATCGAACATTCCGAATATTCTTAATTATGTATTATAATTTGAAAATGCATCCACAGTATATATGTGAAGTGACCAAGTACGGTGACTCGGAATTTGTGCTCTGCATTTAACCCATCCAAGTGCACACACACACACCCGTAACAGTGGGTAGCCATATTGATGCAGCGCCTGGGGAGCAGTTGGGGGTTCGGTGCCTTGCTCAAGGTCTCACCTCAGTCGTGGTATTGAGAGTGGAAAAGAGCACTGGTTATTCACTCCCCCCACCTACAATTCCTGCCAGACCTGAGACTCAAACCCACAACCTTCGGGTTATAAGTCTGACTCTCTAACCATTAGGCCACAACTGCCCCTGATGGAATGAAAATAGTAAGGCCTGTAGATAGGGAGTACGTTATTTAAGAAAAATATAATTATATTTTCAGAATGCCAATTTTTTTCAAACATATTCTGTGGGGTAAAATGGCTTAATTACTGTAGTTACTCTGTTCTGAACATCAAATCCTTTGTTTTTCCATCAAATGTATTCTAGTTGGTTGAATACAAATATTTGGACTTTATATTTCAAAATTACCTCAAGTTAGCATCAGGTACTTATCTAGCCAGTTAGCATCAGCTAACATTATTTTTCAAATAGGTTATAATTTTGTAATTCGTGATTATTGATTATATTCTTTTAAATTTTAAGCTAAAACTGCCTGTACTCTGATTTTGCCTTAAATGTATAAAGCAAACTGCTTTGTCAGACTGAGGGCATATTACCCTACCCAGGGGTGTCATGCTCTTATTATTATTGAGGGGGCACAAGTGAAGGGATGGGGGGGAGTCCTGGTCATGCTTGTCATGTCATGTGACACACAGCAGCCACGATAGCGCTGTATAACTGGGTTATGTTTTTAGGCTTATGTTTTATTTTATTTTTCATTTTTATTCTAAATATTCCCAAACGTGTGAACTATATCATGAAATATCTTGATTCTCACATATGTGTAAGTAAATGCATTTTGCACCTTTATAAATCATGTTAGTTAATCTATAATGGGCGATGGGCAAAGTAGCCTAATGTTAGTGTGATCTATTATTTATGCATTAAACCCGTCTTTTTACTTAAGTACCTGATATGGATGTCATGCCATAAAATATTTACGACTGACTTTGTATTAAACGTGAATTTAATAAAAGCATTGTAAGTTACCAATTATAACAATATATGGGAAAACGCTTAACATGAAACTGTGCGTGTTGCATTTATTCTGGGCT